ATAGAAGATGTGTGACATCCTGTAACTGGATGACGATAACATTACACAGAATAGAGCAGTTTGCATTTCCCTTTCAAGGCGCACGCTGACAGGCCACTCCCCGTTACCCAATATTTTCGGGGATTATGACTCAATGTGTACTATGTTGTAACTGGTGGTTGCATGATTGTATGCAACATTATGTTGTGACAAAGTCTGACGAAGGATTTCAATGCCGAAAGCCCAGCAGTGAAAGTAGAGAAACAAGAAGTGAAGAAAAGGAAGAATCAGTATCAAAAACACGGAGATCATTCTGAGTTGAGCTCAGAGATAGCAATATTTCGAAATAAATAGTAATATTAGTAAGTTGAAAGTAATGAATTCACCAATTTTCCTCAGAATGAAGCGAGAAGCTGCAGGTTACAAAAAGCAGCAAGTTGAAACAAGCAGTATCAACACCTTCAGGGTCAGGATACCTCGTTGAACACGTTATGCTGGTCAGCAATGGCAAGCTAAAGCTGAAATGATGGGAGGGAAGATAGGTATGTCGACCTCGAAAAGAACCTCCGATCCTATCGCCGACAAAACTGGGCCACGACACGATCGCTTCTAGACTCTGGATTCTGAATTCGTTCGCTTCTGGATTCTGGACGCTCACGTCGTGCGACGCACAAGCAGAATCCAGAAGCGATCACGTTTGAATCGTGACAAGGTTTTGCGGTTTAAATTGTTTTAGTGCGCGCAGCCATTCGAGAATACATCCTACTATATATAACGCGCTAATGTCTTTGTGTTTGTGTGTAAGTGTTTGCGTTTCCGACCGGAAATTTATAACTTTTGTCCCGTGGACCTAGAGCATTCATATTCGGTAGAAGTACTAAAGGCAGTATGGTGACACTTATGATTAATGGTAGAACTGAACTCCGCCCACAGGGGGGGGGGGTATGGAGGTTTGCGCGGAATGAATGTTTAAGCGGAAATTAAGACATAAGTCTTGTTCCCGTGGACTCTGGAGAGTTCGAAATTGATAGGAGCAGAAGAGGCGGGATGGAAACTCTGAAGACAAGATAGGAACACCGACTGTAGAGGAGACCTTACCTAGAGCAAGATGCATCCACCAGTTGAATCCTAACGCCTTTGCTATTGTTTCTTTGATATGCACCATTCGACAAGAAGACAAGTGCGGTGATAGGGATCGATTCGCCAATCACCTGTATCACTTGTCGTCCTGTTGATCGTCGATTTCCTCGAGCGGGCGCTTGTAACGTCTCCACTCGTCCAAGTTGCGAGCCAGAGTAGTCCAATGAATCGTACTTACTCGAGGTGGAACGTTCCTTCCCTTCAAATCTTTCGTGAAGAAGTCCGACCATTAGGCCGGCGGTCGTCGTGGTGTTCGTTTGTCGTCACGAGGTATCCAGTAAGTAAGCGCTCTAGTTCAACGGCCATCACTATATCGCGTAACGTGTCCGGCCCACGAGATCTTCGATCTCTCGGTGTGATCAACGGCATCGCTGATCTTCGTCTGTCAACGGAGCTCGGAACTCCGCATTCCCTTCTGCACCTGCGTGTATAAGGAATTTCCGCCCGTCGTCCTTTCCGCAGCGCGTTGAATGACGCTAACTGCATGCTCCTGCTTTCGTGAAGTCCAGTCTCTGCAGCGTATGTCAGAGCAGAAAGGACCGCAGTATCTAAAAGGTGAACGCTGTAGAAATTTAAGCGACATTTCTACATAGGGATGGTAAAGAAGCTTTTGCTTGACTACCCCCTCCAACTCCATCGACAACCCGACAAATCCTGCTCCTTTGATGTCTTTCTGATAGGTCGCCTAGAATCACAATCGACTCGCAAATGGACCATTTCAATATTCCTATCTTTAAAAACAATTGCCTTTTTGGCCTTCGTCTTTGACTATTCTTCTCTATCGTTTAATATATCGTTTGATAGCCTTCTATACGGATACTACAGGAATCACAAGGAGTTTCATAATGCCCATCGCCTCTTGCATGCTTATGTTTGCAAGTGGCGCTGAATGTGCCTCGGCCATCTGGAAGATGTTGGAGGTTTCACTTTGGTAACAATGCATTCTGCAAGAAAACATAAATGTACAACTAATTAATAGCGGGTAATGTGAATTCAATTAATTACTTCGACCTTACAGGTGTGCAAATTTTGACACCCCTAATTTTGGAACACCCTGTACTTCCCTTTTGCTTCTTCTCCAAGCAGATCGCAGCAACTCACTAGTCATTTCGAGGGGTGAGTAAGCTAACACGTAAGCGTCGGCTTATGACGGATTAATCTGTCGCAAACCGCCCTCCACCATATCTTTGGTTGAAGAGCTCCAATAAAGTTGACAGTCAAATCAGCGGGAAGTTTCGCTCGAATAGAATCTGAATATATAATAAATTGTGCATTCCCAATTTTTGCTTAATTTCCAGAAAAAAATGAAATTGATTTTTTCAGCACCTAGGGTATTACTTGAGGATACAGCAGCGTCGTGAACCCTCCACCCTTCACTCTTGGAAACTCTGTTCTTAATTTTAAAGGCATGAGTAGCACTATATTCGAGTATAGCCTAGAATTCTGATCATTTTGATATCCTTCATGACAAAAAACACTTGCCGGTGAAAGAGCCATTCATTCCAACTAAAACCGTTTTGTCAGTTTTTCAAAGGCATGTATGAAACTGCACTGTAGGAGAGCATGAGATTGTAATTATTTCGATACCCTTCGCGACAGATTTTGAACAAATTCAGCTGAGAGCGGTGGGTCAGGTTAACGAATTTCCCTACTCTAGTAGTTTACATTGCAAAATTGCCTATTCAACGAACATCAGCTTAGATCGCCAGTAGAGGGAATCCTGTTGGGTCGTAATTTGATGAAACATCAACATCAAACAAACATCAAACACCTAGGACATATTGCCCAACGATGTTGTTGTATTTTGATATGAAACTATGTGAAAATTTGATTGTAGATGGTCCTTCCAATTAACGTTTGGCTGGCCGATCCCTCATATCGATCTCTGTGGGCCCATCGCCTTCGCTATTGCCTTGTCCACTCAAAAGCACGTCTTTTCGCAGATAAGTTAACATGCAGCGTTGTCGGGTAGGAAAACAGCCTCGATGGGACGTTATCAGGGCGCAAAGATAGTTCTTAGTTCCGTAAGGCAATTTTTACAATTTTGGCTTGATGTGATCAGTTCCTTGCGCAACCGCAACATCTGGAACCTCGTTCAAATACCCCTTCCATGCGATTTCCATCAAGGTAACTCGTACGATCTCTATTTTCACTAGTTTTGAATTGTCTTATTTTCCATAAAACCAAATTTTCTTGCTTTCTTCACCACCTATGCACCATACCAACCAGCACGGTTTTTGCGCTTGAAAGTCAACTGAAACGGCTTTGCTGAGTTCTCTCAATGATCGGTCGAAAGCCTTTGATCGTAAGAAACAGGTGGGCGTTATATATTTTGACTTCGCGAAGGCTTTTGATAGGGTACCTTCCTATAAGCTTGTTAAGCTGGAGTCCCTTGGGATCTTCGGTCCCACAACTCGGTGGATTGGAGCTTTCATCTACAGTCGCACCTACCAGGTACGTGTTGGAAGTAAGCTCTCCTCTGTGTATAAGATCTCCAGCGGTGTCCTTCAAGAGGGAGTCTTGTCCCCTATCCTCTTTCTTCTTTATTAGGCTGAACTTCTTGCTGGGTTGCAAAGTCTTCAGGTATCCTCACTGATGTATGCTGATGATATCAAACTATACAAAGTCATTGAAAGCATCAATGACAGTGAGCCCTGCAAGCAGCAATTAATGTTATTGCTGATTGGTCAAAACAGTGGGAACTACCTCTAGCTCCCGATAAAACGAAGGTGTTTACAATCGGCAATAAAACTAATATTTCAAGTAGTTACAGAATAGGTACTGTAACGTTGGATTCGTAGGATCATGTGAACGATCTTGAGTTTATCTTTTCGAACAAGCTTGCGTTTGACAAGGACTGTAAAGCTCTGGTGTCAAAGGCAAACAACAGGATATACAACCTGTTCAAGACCTCGTGAACCGTGAACCCCACCGTATTACTGAAAGCCTACAAAGCCTACGCAAGATCTATTGAGGAATCATGTACCGCAGTATTCTCTCCACATAAGAAGAAGGATTTGGATCTCTTAGAAAGTGTGCAGAGCAACTTTACACGCAAACTCGCTATTCGCTGCTGCAAGTTGAACATGAAACCTTGCCTAGTAGAAACGAAAGGCGCCCTCGGTTTGGATTACCTTCTTTGGCAAGTAGGAGACTGGTTGATGATCTCGTTATGGCTTTTAATATTTTGACATGAAGAGTAGCAATAAAATCTCTAGATTTTTTCAGTTCAACCTCATCGAGAACAAGGGGTAGCGCTATCAAAATAAAGCCTTCTGTAATAGGAACACAGGTCAGAGCCAGGTTTTTTGCGGTCAGGGTGATAGCAATCTTAAACTAAATTTTTGACGAGAATACGCTACGTCATTCCCTCGAATCCTTCAGAAAAAGCAATTAAGTTGGCCAGAGCGGAGGTTTCTTAATACATATGTGCGTCCTTCAAATGATTGATTGTGTAGACTGATTTCATAATAGTGTTTTCATAATGTCATTATACTCTTAATGTTGTCTCTCTTCATTATACTGTTGCTTTCATCGACGGAGTGGAGTTCGTTTTTCTTTTTCGTTCCATTGTACAACACCACGTAGTTTAGCTGCGTCCAGAAATGGATAAATATGAAGTTCATCTTGCATGACGGGCTCTGCCTGCAGCGACGCGGTGCCGTGGGCGGGACGCGCTATAACATCATGCCCACCATCATAATGGTAAAAGGAGAGACCTATAAAGAGAAATTGAAAAAATGATCAACACTGAGCGTCACGGCTGGATACACCAGGGATCAGCTCTTAGTCCGTTACTCTTCATGCTCATCCTGGATGTCATTACGAGAGGACCCCTGTAAGGACCATTCAAGACCATCCTCCACGTTGAAGACACCGCTATGTTAGCGAAGAGCAAAGAAGAATTCCAGAAGAGGCCTGAAATGGGAGAAAGTGTTAACGGAGAACGGGCTCCAGCTGAACGTGAAGAAGTTTCTGAGCTCCGAAGAGTACACGGAGTCAATCATCGACGGTCTCGGAGAAGCCATCGAAAAGGTTTGGGACTTCCGATACTTGGGGAGGGATCTAGTTGCCGATGGTAGCGTGAAGCCCGAGTAAACACGGCATGGATGAAGTGGAGGATATCACCGGTATCCTCTGCGATCGGCGGTGCTCCAGGACACTCGAAGGAAAGGTTTACAGGACAGTGGTGAGGCCCACGATGACCCACGGTAGCGAGTGCTGGCTGTAAGCAAAAATCATGAAAATCAGCTTTACGCCGCTGAGATGCGGATGCTCAGATGGGATCGCAGTTGGACGCGATTGGACCGTATTAGCAACGAAAATATCAGAGCAATCATGAACAACTCCTGTGCAGCTGAGGATTAGAAAGCAGCGTTTACGATGGTATAGACACTGAGAAGACGTACTTAGAAGACCACAGAATGATCTAACTATGAAGGCAATGGAGGTCGAGGCTCAATTGAAGCGACCACATGGAGCTCCTAAAAAGAGGTGGCAGGACACTCTCAAGCTCATCGAACCGGAAGAATCGGTGGAAAATGCCTCGTATAGAAGGAAGTGGAGGCGGCTGACAAGAGTCGCGGCTATCGCTAGGGAGAAATATTTTCAATATGTGTGACACTCCATTTCTCTTGAAATGCACCATCGTATAGAACCAGCAAATTCTAGAAACTGATAATTCGAATCACTGTTTCCTGCTGAAACCGCTCAAACTCTCTCATGAGGAATATCAAAATGCACACGATTCTATGCTTTTCCTCGAATAGAGTGTCATATACGTCTTTCAAAAACTGAGCGCGAAACTTTCAATCGAAGTGGAGGCCTCACGATTATGTTATACCTTCAGATGACACCTCAGGTACTTGAAGACTCACTCTTCCATCTTCGTAAAAATGGAGCTGCAGAGTTGATGAGCTGTTATATCCCCAAGTAATCCTGGTTGTCAAATGTTCCAATCTTCATTTTTCTTGGAATATAAAGGAAAAATTATAAGAAAATCGAAAATTTACTGTAAACGGATTCCTCACGAGCAGGTTACAAGTGTTCTGACTTCTATCTTGATTGAAGTGCTTTCGCAAATTTATGGAGAATTATTCTGTAGCAAACCGTCGTCGGGTGACCACGAATTGGCAGCAGTATTGTAGTGAAGATGCATTTTCATTCACAGCTGTTTCGCACAATTCTATTAGGTCGCAAGTGTTTACTGATGAATACGTCCCAGCTTCAGCGAATGTATTATTACGTGTACGAGTCCAGAATCCATCCCGTTAATGCTCCTCATGCTATGTTATGCAATATATCATTAATGTATTACTACATTAGTGATATTCTGCATAACATAACGCACCGCTGAATACCTATTCTACATGGTGATTTCTACTATTATGTAATACACTGAATGGTTATTATTTCAGTAAATTATTTAGTATTATACATACGTTATATATTATGTATATTATGCTATCTTTTTAACTTTCATTTCATTACAATCATATATGCTGTCCGGCATTGTTCCTTATTTATCCCCACTTTCACCTTTTTTTTGTGGTTGACGTAGTTGATGAAAATCGATGGAACTTCGTTGGAAAAGAATTAAATTGCAGGGAAGCACAACACCAAATATCTAAATAGATACATATGAAAACAATTCTGTAAAAGAAGGTTTGAAGACATTCGTTATAACCAGCATACTGTACAAAATTAAAGAGTTATCAAATTCGCACGTGTTGTCCAATGAATACAAAATATAGCATGTCAAACCAAGAAAAGTAAACTATAAGCCCTGATCTCATATCCCAGAGACGAAAATAAGACTTGCAAAGCCGTTACTTTTTTGGCCATAAAGTCAAACATTAAAATAAAATCCTAATTCCTTGTGTAGATCTGACTCACATTCGAGGAGCTCTATAGTTGTAGAGCTTAGTACGGAGCAAGGTGTAAAAACGAAAAAAAGACAAGCGCTTTTTTCCTTTTCCTCATTAACTTATTTTGAAAAAGAAATCCCTCCCCACTTTAGAAATCCCTAACAGTACAAACTTTGAAACAATTTAGTAGGACTGGGCATCACGTGAGACCTGATCTCTAGTGTTTTTCTGCCGTCATTCACAGGCACTTTCACTCTCTTCTTCAGGCATTTCTCCATCATATCATTCCACAGGTGATTCCAATTTATGACCTAATAAACTTTCCCATACCTCCATTTACGTCAGTTGTCTGTCACAAGAATTCTCGCGTCATAAATCGCCTTCCACAAGACATCTAGGTGATTGCTTTGTAGATGATCCCGCTTATACTGCTTCTCCTTCTTGTGGTTCCGTCAGTGAATGGGCAAGAGGACGACAATTATGACATTCTTTCTGCACATGGTGGAATTTTCCGTGATCTACACTGGACAAACGACGAACTTGCCGAGATTTCAGCGTTACACACTACCGCTTCACATCATAAACTTATGCAACTATTAGCGGTAAGCAGATCGAGTTCACCGATTTACATTTTAGGGTTGTGCCAGCTAAATAATGCACTATCGCCTATTGTCACTTAAAAGTTCTGACAACCAGTTCATACCTATAAAGTTTTTTTTAGTTGTTAAGCCAGCCCAAATCAAAATGAAACGCATTAGAACATTGCCTGAATCAAATACCTCATGAATATGATCTTGAGAGCGGAGACGGAGTAGTAGTAGGCGACTCAAGAGTTCCATTGTCGGAAACCGAATCCCGCACCGACACCCGCCTAGCCCAGTCAATCCTTCCGTCTTTTAGAGGCCAGATTTTTGGTACCAGACTGGATTAGAATAGGACAAAAGCAATGGCTTGTTAATGTCTTGCTCCCGTTAGTCTTTGAATAGTGTACATACCCCTTCAAACTGAATGATTCTGGATGTAGGCCGAAAGCGTGGGCGAATTACAAAATCGGATTGACACCAGAACATAAGCGTCATGCATGACGAGCGTCGCAGTGTTTACATCGTCAGATTTCTCCCGTAGGAATCGTGAATGAGCTGTAGTGGCTGCTGTGGTCTACAAAGTACCATTACAACCGAGCTTGAATTCGATATTATAGCAAAAGCTGAGGCATCTCTAAGATTGAAGATCAGAGCTCAGCTATTAACCGGATGAGTTTTAAAACAAAGAAACTTTAGCAACCCCACGTCAAAACAACTTTGACCGATTTTTTGTTATCAGTCCACAAGCTCCAAATGAAGTAATCCAACGAATCAATTTTTCAGCGAAAACTGAGAAATTCGGATATTGGTGACGCAGCGAAGAGGCGGATCGAGAAGTTTATGAAGTTGAAACGACCGCCAAAGTTCCTTGAAACGTTTCTCAGTGATGAGGATAGGAATCAAGTAAGTGATAAGGAAAAATAGATTCAGGGAAAGCTCAGGATTGTATAGGCCTATTCTCTTGAGAAATAAGATTCATTACTTGTAGAAAAAAATCTACCCTCTAAAATCGTAGGAAAAATTGAACACATTTTTCAATGCATGATTCGACGTCCTTATACTCTTGCGCTTTGCTTATCTTATCGCAATATGTCCTGGCTGAGATCAGCCACACCGGAAAATGTCCCTTCGCAGACGAGATTTCTACAGGACACTGAAGCTCGAAAGGGCATTGATGTCTGAACTCGTGCAGCGCCATATAATATAGCGCCAGATCATATAATGATTTACTAGCGTCGAGCAAAGCCGTGTCGTCGTATCCTTCTTAGCATCACTCATGTTCTCCTCTGCCATTGCTCAATCACGTCACGTCATTGGCACACTAATTGTAAGTACATATGCAATAAACCACAGGGAAGCTAGAAACCAGTCTTACAATTGGTCAGCTATTTATAACAATTATGTTAGATTTCCGCCATAGACGTCATTTAAATAAAATGCTGCTTCTGTTGGTTGATAAGGTTATCTCGTTGCAAACTTGTCAACGGTTAGACCTAATAATCGTGTCGAGCAAACAGTGTCTGCAAGCGAGTACAGGCAAATCAGCAAACGAGTACTGCATACATGCTGCAGAAAGCTGATATTCCGACTTCGTCTATGAAGGCCCCCATACAGTTCATGTTTTGCCGGAATGCTTGTCAACTGCCAGAGTTTTGAAATTGTTCAAAAAAAAAAAAACGCGTGCTAATGCTAATGGTGCTTGCTCCGCAAATTTGGTTTGAACAATTGAAGCAGAACAGAATATCAACAAAGCTTTCGCTGTTTCACGATTCCGTTAACTGAGCTATGACAAAACGATGGTCTAGGAAATTCTCAAAGGGAGCTTTTACCTTGGCTATAAAGGGAGTTTGTGGCGGCCAATCGAAATCAATGAAAAGCATTTCTTTCACCTCGGTGAGAAAGATTCCAGGAAAGACCGCGAGACTCAACAGTACAACGCGATATGTGTATTTCCTAGTAAAGTTTGAAGTGATCCAGCACGCAGTTTACAACGGGTCTTTGGATTTCACAAGAATCCAGCGAGTCCGACTGCGAGAAGCGATTAGAGCCGCTACGCGAATTTTCCTTCAGTTTCGTTGCCTCGTTCAAGAAGGAAGTATACCGCAGGTAACCGCCGAGTAGAAGTTCTTGCGATCACGATCGGAGTAGGAAAACCTATCATAGGTGAAAATGTAGTTGATGGGGCCATCCATCCATCAGTATATCAAGAAATGAACTCAGTCTAACGTGTTAGCCCTTGTTATATCAGCACTGTATCGGGTGCGTAGAGGATGATGGGAATCGACCACCTTAGCTCTTTTATGTGGTTTAAACTAAGAAAATTTAAACTTCCAAATGAGCCTAGGTAGAGTACGAGCAGCTGGATGGTTAGGATGATTAACTCCTGCAAAAAAAAAAAAGAAAAAAAGAAAGAAAACTTGCCCACCGCGGTGCTCCTTCCCCACGAGAGCCCTTATTAAAAAACTGGCATGTCTGTGATATAACACGACATAACGCGTTTCATTGAGTTCATTTCTTGATATGCCGACATTGTGATAGGTGGCTCCCCCCAACTACATTTTCACCCCTATCATATCCCAAATCGATATCGGCACTTATCGGAAGAAGCTTCGACGACGAGACTGCACTGAGAAGCCACATCGACACAACTTATGATTTAAAACCACTCCTGTTCTACGCCGAAGACATCAACCTATAGAGCCGACAGAGCTGGGGATCATGCAATTTTCTTCTGTCTTGATCTAAAGAATGGCTCAAGTAAATTGCACTGCTTTGACTCTGTTCGTTTCAGCCTAGTAAAGACTCGCGTGGAATCTACATGACTCCCGATTAATTTCCAACTTGACATTTTCATGCATAGCTATTCAATTTCTATTCTAGAATAAGCACAGCGATGGAAATGCTTTAACGCCGCATGACCAGAAAAGAAAAATCATAGGAATATTTACACATACATACAATACAATACAATACATACAAAAACTCACACAACATACAAACCAGCTATCCCAACTTGAGTTCGTATTTTCACTTAAATTACGCCTATTTCACACACGTTACGCTCTCATCCTCCATCAGCCAACCCTCCTCCTTCCACTGGTAGAGTCCAGATCAGTCACTTCTATCAAATATCATCAGTGCTCCTATAATGCCGCCTGTCTCCTACCGAAGTTGAACGCTCTAGGTTTACGGGAACAGGTGTAACGAATTTTTGGTCACACACACATACACACACACACACACACACACACACACA